GTATGGGACTGACGGAAAGGTCTGTCACCGCCCCGTTCTGCATGCTGCAGCGAAGTGTACTTGCAACTAGCTGCTCCAAACATCAGCATGCTAACGCTCATAGCGGTGCAGCAAGGAAAAATGTCCCCCGGGAAACAACAGTTCACTGGCGGCCGCGACGAAACATTCCGCTACTTAAACCAGAATGTCCGGTATTCAAAAAATTCATATCATAACAAAAATAAAAACCGGTATTCGGTACAAAACGGTATACCGCCCAGCACTACTTGTCATCAATGAAATGTTGAGATTTTCCCCATTATGAACGCGTTTGCGTAAAACCTACAACTATTCATCTTTAACATGAGACCAAATTTGTCTCATTTGAACAAAAGAATAAAGATTTGGGTTTTTGAATCACATCACTAATGGATCACTAAGCGGCCATCTTTAATGTAATTTATTATTAGGCCTATAAAGCTCATTTTGATTGAACTAGAAAAGTATTTTCAAGCTCTTTCCAGTGATATTTGATGTGATATAATCAGGTTCGTTTCCTTTGGGACATCCCTGTGATGACAGAGGAAGAAGAAGTGAAAGTGTTTAATACCTTGGCCACTTGTTGCAGACCCTTCAGCAGGAAGCTGTAATGTCTCAGGGTGGACAGCTCAGATTTGGGCACCAGCAGACAGAAACAGACGTGAAGAGGCAGCTTCTCCTCTGCAGCCAGCTGCTGGGCATGGATCAGAGCCCAGTTATCTGAGGAGGAACCAACAACAACAGGGAGATTTCATGACTTTACCTCTGATAAACGCAGCTGATTCAGAGGGAGGCTCACCCTGAACCCTCTGGTCTCTTGACATCCAGTACAGAAGACCCTCAGAGCCCTGCCGGATCTTCTCAGTGTCGGTGATGAAACGCAGGCGCTTCTTGTTGAAGCTGATCTCCTTCTTCACCTCCTCCTCCTCCTCCTCCTCGGACACCTTCTGCCGCTTGGTGCCGGACTCCTTACCGCCGGCAGCTCTGCGCTTCCTGTCTGCCATGATGAAGGCTTCACCTGCGAATGAACCGGAGAAAGAGAGCTTCGGTTCSAGCTGGGTCCGGAGGAGGAGGACGGTGCGCTTCTTCGGCTGCAGCCGCTGGATGAGAGCCGAGGACAGAGAGGAGCTGCGGGAAGCCGCGACACTGTGAACACATCACGATAAAACCACTTGCTAACTAAATGCACAAACAGATGAGAAAGGTTAGCATCACATACCAACAGAGTAGCATACAGGGCGTGAAGCTCAAMGTTTGACCGCCTTAACCGCAGTAAATAAAAACAAATAACTTCTACAAACAGCGCTGAGAGGGACACAACCTAGTCCTCTTCACATAACCAGTTACATGAACAACGTGAGGCTGTTTTGTAACTTGTGTCGAACATTCAAACTACGTTTCCCAAAAGTCTTTTCTGGCGTCRTCAGAGCGCATGCGCATGRGCSTGGCGTTCTTAAAGCGCATGCGCGKTAGTTTTTCTGTTATAATTATTCTTTCATTCAGTTTGTTTGTTTGTTTGTCATTGAAAACAACACAAAATTAACCATTACAAGACCAAACAATAAAAATGGTTTGTACAGTTCAATATGTTGTTTTTAATGTGTTGTCTTTAGTTAACATTGCTGTGTTTTTTTCAAGATGTCAATGCGTTTTTAAATATGTGGTTGCAATTTTTAATATGTTGTTTTTATTATACCGTTGTGTATTTCATTAAAAAGTGCTTTTTAATTTGTTGTTGTATTYAATGATTTGTTGATGTGGTTTGCACTTTAGGGCCATCA